ACACGTAGTGGATAAAACAAAATGATCTCTAATAAAAAATATAAATTATAACCAAAGAAGTTTAGAAATATCCGATCCCAATCAAAGAACCCAAGGAATATTCTTTACTGGAACATAAAGAAGCAAATCAGGGACCAGCAGGTGGCATGGTGGTTAAGGCACTGGGTGCTCCCACAAGGCTGACGATGGTTCGAGTCCTGGACCTGGTGGCTTGCTCTCTCACCTTCTCTTTCTCTCTCTTTCTGTGTATCTCTCTAGTCAAATTAAAAAAAAAAAAAAAAAAGAACCAAAGCAGTGGAAAACTTACTAAGGAATGAGTAACACAGGCTGGACCTTGAATGGAATCTACAAAAAGCGGAGTGTCTGTTCAGAACTGAAGGTGTTCCAGTACTAAATAACCGGCACATTTGCTTGATGGAATTCTCTCTTTGGTTAAGAAAAGCAATCTACAGTTCCAGTGCCACCTAACAGAAATGTCATTGAAATAGCTAACACAGCAGAAGGATGGAAAATCCTGGGTTGCTACTCCCCTGTCCCATGCCTAAGGCAGAAATCACTGTGGATCGCAGCTCGCACAGTGAGCCACGCTGCTCCCAGAGGTGTTCTAGGCAGCCACAACCGAGCAGAACTGGCTCAGGGATATGAATCCCTATTCAGATTCCATAGATGCCAAGCATCTGTCTAACCACATAACTTTGTCTTAGCAAAAAGGGTGGCTCCTTCCACTGCCACCCATACCTACAGGACTTCCAAGCTTAGTGGCATATCCCTCACTATAATTAGGAAATTGGTTATTCCTTTTTTTTCTTGAGAGATTTTTCCTACAGGGTGTATGCGCTTGCCGGAGAGGCAGAGGACAGAAAGTGAGAAATCGCCCCCTGAGAGGATGGCTACACCGCAATCCCTTCTCCTCCATTCTCCTCTCGGGATTTTGGGCAAGCACATACAAGTGCCCAACGTATAAGCTGCCAGGTCTGGAACTCAAACTGCAGTCAGTTATGTGGGAGTCCAGCAACATAACCATGATGCCATCTGCTGGTTCTGGTATTCCCTCTTATTTATATTTATTTGTTTGTTTTTGCTATAGGGCACAAGTGCTCACAGGAGAGACACACACAGAGAGAGAGAGAGAGAGAGAGAAAGCACCTCCCAGTGGGGATGGCCATGCCACAATCCCTTCTCCCTTGGGATTCTGGGCATGCATGCACACATCCCCACATGCTTTTCAAGCTGCTGGGTCTAGGACTCGAACTGTGCACTCAACCATATTATGAGATTCAGCCACCTTAGAGTCGCAGCCAAGGAGCACCCCCAGCCGGGCATGGGCAAGTCAGCTTCCAAAGAGTTTAACAATGAGCTCCTGAAGGCCCACAATGGGTACCGGAAGCAGTTCGAAGTGCCCCCACTAACGCTCTGCAAGAAGCTCAACCGGGAGGCTCAACAGTACTCTAAGGTCCTGGCCAGCACGAGGATCCTCAAGCACAGCCCAGAGTCCAGTCGCGGCCAGTGTGGAGAGACCCTGGCCTGGGCATCCTACAGTCAGACAGGAAAGGAAGAGGCTGATGGATGGTAGGTATAGTGAAATCAAGAACTACAACTTCCAGCAGCCTGGCTTCACTTCAGGGACAGGGACGGGACACTTCACAGCCATGGTCTGGAAGAATACAAAGAAGATGGGGGTAGGGAAGGCATCTGCAAGTGACAGGTGCTCCTTTGTGGTGGCCAGATACTTCCCAACAGGGAATGTTGTTAACCAGGGCTTCTTTGAAGAAAATGTCCTGCCTCCAAAGAAGTAATTTGTCAGGATGGGAAGGTGGCAAACCTAGGAATGTGGGTATCAAGTGCCACAGTGGGCCCCTCTTAGGTGCTGTCACACTCTCTTGCTGCCTGGGCTCACCCCACCAGTGTTATGTGCTCTCCATGCCAGCGATGGCCATGCCCCTTGATGTCCCCTTGGCAGAGGGCACCCCTACCTAGAGCCCCTGCCGGGCTCCCACACCACCTCGCAAGCGCCTGCCTGCCACTCTCATGTGGCCACTCAGCTGCCAGGACTGTGCTGTCAATAAAGGGTCAGGGTCCTAAGGGAAAAAAAAAAGTGCCTGGAACAACAAAAACCCAGCTGTGTGTCCCTGTGGGTGTAGGTGCTGGTGTGTGTGATGTGCGTGAGCATCTCCTGTACACACGTGGGTACACAGTTCTGCGCAAGCTCATCCTTATTACAGCAATGAGCCCAGGACGCGTTTACCCTGTTGACCTAGACCACCATTCCTTGGATGTGGGCAAAAGGCAGGAATCATTTTTTGTTCTTTTTTGGTTACTTTTAAAGCATTCTTCTTTTGTATCTTTCTTATTTCTAATATTCATCCCTGGATTTTTTGTATTCCAAATATTTGTGATGCTGACAAGTTCATTTTATGAGATCTTCATACACTGTAATCTCCTTTTGGTAGATGTTTAAGAGTATTAAACTCTCATTTAAATGTGGGGGAAAAAAAGAATTTATGGAAAAACAGATTAGCAGCTTAGCAGCCAGTGCACCGTGGGGTTAGAGATATATGTATCTGGGAGCCACGCAGTTAGGAAGAACAGCAAATAAAGCCAAACCTCGGGTGTAGACAGAAAATAAAGGCAAAAAATGGGAACCTATATTTGAAGGTACTGCTGAAGTTGGAGAAAAAGAAGCTAGAATCTAAATAACCATATTATTATTTTTTTGAGAGTTTTTTTTGTTTGTTTTTGTTTTGCCATAGGGCACGTGCACTCACCAGAAAGACAAAGAGAAACAGAGAGACAGAAAGAGAGAAATCACCCCCCAAGGGGGATGGCTACGCCGCAATCCCTTCTCCTCCATTCTCCTCTCCGGATCTTGGGCACGCACGCACATGCACCCAGTGCAAGTTTAAGCCACCAGGTCCAGGACTCAAACAGTGGTCAGCTACATGGTAGTCCAATGACGTAGCCATTACGCCATCTGCTGGTCCCAACCATATTATTCTTTTAATAGTAGTAAACACTTACATAGCCCCTAAGGCATGTGGGTGCCCTTCATTGTTGGTGTTTGACATACCTCAACGGACTTAAACTTTGTTTATTTATTTTAATTTGACCAGAGAGAGAAAAAACAGGTGAGAAAGAGAAAGTGAGAAAGCAAGCTGCCAGGTCCAACACTTGAACCATGGTTGGCCGGGTGGAAGTCCAGTGTCCTTAACCACCACGCCACCTGCTAGCCCCTCAATAGACTTAAAACAACCACATGGGAACAGGTGTTTTTTTTTGCTATAGGGCGCGTGCGCTCGCCAGACAGAGAGAGAGAGACATAGAGACAGAAAGTGAGAAATCACCCCCCAGGGGGGATGGCCACGTGGCAATCCCTTCTCCTCCATTCTCCTCTCAGGATCTTGGGCACGCACGCACACATGCCTGGCGTGAGTTTAAGCCACCGGGTCCGGGACTCGAACAGTGGTCGACTATGTGGGAGTCCAGTGACAAAGCCATTACGCTAACTGCTGGTCTCTGGAACAGGTGTTTTTCAAGCTGCAGGGTCCCCGGGAGGAATGGCCAGCCACAATCCCTTCTTCCCCATTCTCCTCTCAGGATTTTGGGCACACGCATACACACACACACAATCGCGTGCACACCCACACACACCCAGCGTGCTCTTCAAGCTGTCAGGTCCCAGACATGGACTGTTCAGTCTGCCACGCGGGATATAGCCACCTTAACCACCATGCCACCTGCTGGCCCCACTATTATTTCTCTTTCATAGATAGGAAAATAAGGCACCAGAAACAGATGTCCTCTCTAGGGTCACAGATCAGAAAATAGGTGGGATTTTGGTGCTGAATCTAAGCGAACCTGTTTCCAGAGTCTGTACTCCTGCCCACTAGCCTATAGAAGAGAAGGGCTCTCCTTGGTTAAGACTCCAACACTCAATTCAAGCACTGAACTTCCCTGAGTCTCGATTTCCTTAGTTGTAAGAGATTTAGCACTTGTTCTATCTTATGGGCCTTTTGAAACATAATAAAGATCCATGTCAAGGAAGCCACAGTTGTTACCTAGTAAGTGGTTCTCTGGAGGATTTAAAACTTTGGGCCAGATACAGCTCCTAAAGTGAAGCAAGACATATTCCCTGGGAGTTTCTTTAATTTCTTTTCTTTCTTTCTTTCTTTTTAATAAACCTGTCAATTTCTTTGAGGGAAGGAAAGGAAAGAAAAGGAAAGAAAAGAAAAATAACAGGAGGCCTAACTAACCAGATTTGGTCAAGGTTTGGGAGGGAGTGCAGCCCTGGACCCTGTTGGAGTTACTTGTCTCTGTCTCTCCTCTCTCTCCCCTCTCTCTCTCTCCCTCTCCCTCTTCCTCACTCTTTCTCATGAAAGAAAATCATAAACTGAAATTTTAAAAAAGAATTTGGGAATAGGTGTGTAGGGAGAACTGAGGTCAACCAATACACCTTTTCAATGGCATTTCAAGTGCCAGTTGGTTAGATAAAATTTCCATGACTTCGCTAAAATAAAATCAGATTTCTTTCTGCCATCCAGCAATTGGCTTCTTATCTCGGGCACAGAACGGAACATGATGCCTTTCTGGCCTGGATGCTTTCGTGCACGACAGGACCTCTGAAACCTGGAGCCATAAAGACTGAGCCAAGCGACAGCTGCACTGCGTAAGGGATAGACACAAACCCGAAACACAAAAGGCGCTCGTGTTGTTGTTCCAAGCAGTAAAACAAGGACAAGGACGGGGTGGCGTGGTTCTGCCTTCGACCCGAGCACTAGGGTGGTCCAGGGGCCTCAGCCCCCTCCCTGCAGCTCTGCCGGACGAAGCAGCGAGACGCAGTCTTCGTAGTACCGCAGCCGAGAACCCGAAATGCACTCTCCTCCCGACTACTGACCTTGCCCTGGGCATCTCGACTCTCGCTGCTCTAAGCTCAGCCCGCACCGCCGTAGTCCTCCCGAAAGCCCTCCTAGCAGCTGGGGCTCCGCATCTCTCTCAGCACTCACCTCTAAAGTTTTCACCAGGATCTTCATGTAGATCTCGGAGATGCCCAGGGACACTCCGAAGGCCGACGGCAGAAGGATGAGGCCGAGCACCAGGGTCAGCCAGGTGGAAAGGATCTTCCCGGCCAGTTCTGCGCCCTCCATGACTCGGCGAGCCCACTAGGAACAGGTCCGCAAGGAGGTCGGAGCGCGACCGCTGTCCCTGTCGCCAGGCAGCCGGGCCGAGCCCAGGAGCAGAGCGCCGCCGCCGCCTCCCTGCACTCACCTCTGCCGCGAAAGGAGAGGAAGGAAAAAACTTTCAGAACTGCCGCAATTTCCTTCCTTCCTCCTCTGGCTCCCCCACGCCCCAGTGAGTTAACTCGTTCTCGGTTGGAGGTCCAGGCCAGGAAGAAGCCGCCGCAACGTGCGCAGACCCGGCTAGCGCGGGCGAGAGGACCCGGGCTGGGGCTGAGCTAGGGACACCGCGGCGCGGGCGGAACGCGCCCCACCCGTGCTGAATTCCCTCTGGGTGACGATTGCGACAACTCACGGTGACTCACCGAGGCCCTCGGGGAGCTGGGATCTCTGCGGGCGCCGGGCACTCAGCTCACAGCTGCTGGCGGGACCGACCGGGGCCGCAATCTGCGCTGAGCTGTGCGGAAGGCTGGGTGCGCTCGGGCGCCCGGCGCCCTATTTCTGCGCGCTGCCCTCGCCCCACCTCCTCCGCCACCCAACGGGAGCTCCCTGGCAAGGATCTAGCCCCGGAGCGCCGCAGCCTCCCGGGCGGCCTCCCTTCTTCCCGGCGCCCCGCCTCCCCAGCACGCTCAGTGACCAGCCTTCCTGCGGTTAGTTTTCATCTGCAAAATGTTAGCATGGTCTTCCCCTGCACGATGAACTCTTGACGTATCCCGGACGCTTGGGGAGGATTTGTTGTGTGTGGGTGTAAACGACCTTTTGAGAAGGACTTTCAGGGAGACAGAAATGCAGAGCGCTGCGAGCTGCCGTTTGGGCGGCTTCAGGGCCTCCCACACCTCCTGCCGCTTCCTGTCCTGCGGGACTGTGCGGTTAAATCCTGCTTATCCGGAGGGGAGAAAGCTCTCTCCACCTAATCCACCAGCCCCATCTCCTGGCATAGAAACCCTGGGGCTGAGCGTTTGTCATTCCCTCCCCGGGGGCAGATCCCAAATCCAGTTTTCCCTACCATTCACCAACACGGCGCACAGGACCCTGCAGAAAATGCCCGGCGAGCGAGCCTTCCGCGCGGACACGCGCCCTCTGGGGGTTCAGTCTTCGCACTGCTGCCCCTGACGCTCAGTGACAGACCTGAACTGTTTCAATAAGCATGAGGGGGTGGACGTAGAGAAATGTCACGGATAAGAAAATTAGGCTGCCCAGCGTTGCCAGATCACCCTTGAATCTGAACAGAATCTTTTGTGTGTGTTTACAAGCTGGAAAAACTGGGAGGGCCTGCAATTTGAATTGACATGCTGTTGATAGCAAACACTGCAGAAAAATTGCCCCTGCCTGGGGTGTGGAGGAAGTGTGTGGCCAAGGAACTGAGTAAGCAGCCTCGGTGCAGAGAATATAATGTCTTCTGTACCCCTTGCCCTGCCCCCAAGCTAAGAAGGGGGAAAAAATGTAACTTGATTATAAAAACAAAGACAGGGATGAGGAGGAGTCGGTGAGACAGCAGGCACATTCCAAAGTGAAGTGAGGGATATTCCAAACACCTAAAATCTGGGCCTGGAAATGGCCCAGAGACTGGCTCTCAACCAGTTGAAACCAAGATGGCGCCTGGACCCCTGCTGCCTAACCTTCAGGCTCATTACATCACCACGCTTGTTAAGGCTGGATGACATTCCCATCTGAGCCAGGACAGTTTAGAATAACAATAGCAAGGACTAGACCTACCTGAAAAAGGCCCGAAAAATGGGAGGGACAGTGGTTCTAGGAAAAACACCATCCCTTTCTCAGGAAAGTCATGAGTAAACCACTCCTTAATCAGCCCCCCATTAAGACATATAAGCCAGACACCCAGGATGTTCTGGCTGACTCCCCAGGGGTAGCCCTTTTATCTTTCCCCTTCTTCCTCTCCTAGGAATCTAGGTGACCATCTCCTCTCCCACGGTTGCTCTGTCTCTACACTTAATAAACTTGCTTTCTTTTCTTTTCTTTTTTTTTTTTTCTTGAGACGTTTTTACTATAGGGCGCATGTGCTCGCCAGAAAGACAGATAGAGAGAGAGACAGAAAGTGGGAAATCATGGGACCAGCAGTTGGTGTAATGGCTGTGTCACTGGACTCCAATGTAGCTGACTGCGGTTCGAGTCCTGGACCTGGTGGCTTAAACTCATGCCAGGTACGTGTGTGTGTGTGTGTGTGTGTGTGTGTCCAACATCCTGAGAGGAGAATGGAGGAGAGAGGGATTGTGGTGTGGCCATCCCCCCTGGGGGGTGATTTCTTGCTTTCTGTCTCTCC